CTTAATAAGCAATAATTCCTAGAGCTGGTATTTTTCTCAGTTCTGAGCCTCTCAAAACACAATTGCTGCTTTTCAAACTTAGCGGTGTCAAAGACAGATGTTAATTAGAATGGGGGTTGGAGAGGGAAAGGAAACCACAGAGAAAGGGAAGTTAGAGAACTGATGTATAGTATTTCACAGTAAGTGAAACAGAAGTACTACGCAAACAAGAGAGTACATGTATCAGACCTGCTTAAGATTTATAAGGGACTATTTGCTGATGTAATTCACAAGCACTCTCTTCAGAGGTGCAGCCTTAAACTACCAAAAGCTCACCTCTAAGTAAGTCTTAGTGGACTATTATCTTCTTGCTGTGATTATTTTTAACATGTATATTCTCAATGATAAGCACCGCCCGAGTTAGCTACCATTATTGAGAAATGCTGGTCAAGAGTATACTGAAATGTAATGGTAAGAAACTTAGCATCAGAGAGACTGAGTTTAAATTTCAGCTCTACTACTAGAGTTTTATGATCTTGGACAAGTTATTTGTTACCTCAGTCTCTTCACCTCTAAAATGGTGTTAACAATAACATATGGGTAGAAGCAACAAGTAAATAATTTTTTTTTTTTTTATAATACACAGTCTTTAAATCCTTCTATATAGAAATCTTGGTACTTGTTACTTTTGTCTCTTTCTAGGCAAACGGAGACAAGAACTGTTTCTGTATTATACAGGGTAATTAGGAATAAATTATTATATAATCTTAGAGTATGTCTGATTACAAAGACAAAAGGTTTCCATACCTATCACTCAGTCTCTTTAGGGGCATGTCTTGAGCAGAGATAGCTTCCAAGGAGATTTAAAGTTTACAGAGATGCTGTCTCTAGTTATTTTTAAACTGTTAATGCTTTCTAAAAAAATTACCTATTTTTTTCTGTCTTCATTCATAGTCAGAGGTGATTTGTGCCTGCTTCTTGCTAGTTCTTTTCTCTTTTTGTTAATTCTAAGCAACTGTGAGCTAAGAAACCAGATTAACTGTTTCAAGGCAGACTGATAAAGTGAAAAAAAAAAAAAAGGGTTGTAGATTCAATCTTCTCACCCTTAAGGTGAACTATTATCTATATATTGAAACAATGGTAAAAAGCAAATAAAACCTTAGGTGACAATCTTGCAAGGCATCCTAGTATCTGGCAATATAAGTTGCCTGTCAATAATAATCATTAGTATATAACTAATAAAATATTTTGAAACTTTAAAGAGAATTTATTTCAAACATATACTTTTAATGTGTGAAATTCCTTGGTACTACATTGGAGATACAAAGATGAAAATGAATATACAGTATCTACCCTCCAGAGGTTCAAAGCTAATTAAAGACAGGTGTCTAAATAAAATTACAGCAGTTTGATAGTGAAACAATAATGAAGCAATGCTTCACTTAGAGTCAAAACTTTTTTTCCTAAGAGGTAGTATTTAAGAAGTTGGGGGTTAAAGACTGAGGTGAGCAGACTTGTTCAAGAAGGACAGAAGAGTGTACAAGTCTACAAGAAATAGCACAGTCAGGTCTGGAGCAGAGTGCTTGTAGAGGTTAAGTTTAGACAGATAGCACAGACCAGATCATAAAGACCTACCTAATACATTAACCAAAAAGAGCTGGCCCTTTAAAAAACAAGTAATAGCTAATGATCAAAGCACTAAGGGCAGTGAGGGAAACTGGCTGAAAGGGTAACATGCTCCGGTTCACCTCAGAGAGGAATCCCTTCCATTAAGATGCACAAGATGACCAGGAAAGATGGCGTTAGGGGGAGATGGAATATGGTCCAGGCTGGAAAGAATCAAGAACTAATCAAAAATAGTAGTGATGAGAGTGATTAAAGAAAGGCTAAAATGGAACTCAGAAATCCAGGAAAGTCTTCTAATTTCTGTTTTGTGCAAGCAGTTGTATCATGATGTCTTAAATTTTTAAGAAAATAGTGAGAGGAATTTGGAATTTATCTGACAAGCACTCTCCATTAGGCAGTCTGGAGATCAACTGAGAGCGGAATTAACTCCAACTGGAAAAATTAGTGTAAAGGCAAAAAAGACACATACAAAAATCATGTCACCCAGAGGAAACAGACTGAAAGTGGGGTTATGAATATTTACTATAGCTACTATTAAATAGCTTACTTTCTGGCTTTGTTACCAATTAGACAAACCAAATTTTACATAAAAGAGGTGTTACAATTTACACACTATTTCAAAAGTACAAGAGATATTTTACACAGGTCTGCTGAATACAGATGCTTGAGTTTCCTGAGCACTGTATCCAACTTCACTATCATGTCAAGCCTAGCAAAGTACCTGAGACCGGAAAAGTGCCCAACAAAAATGGGTGAATAAATAACAGCCTCAAGGTCAGCCTTAAACTGGTAAACCTAAACTATTAAATCTAAAATAGTCAATTTTTTTAATGTTACAGATGAACATTGCTTATGGGGCGATCTCAATTTTTCTTTATCTAGTGACTTTTCCATTTAGAAACACAATTTTCAGTGGCTTGGGAACTCTGGACTTCTTTTTGGAGCTTAAGAACTCCCTGCAAATCAATTGTTTATGCCTACCCATACTTCAGACTTATGCAGATAACAGTATAATTACTAATTAAAAAATATTAATTTAACAAGGGGACTATACTAAAAGGCTTCACCTTTAGGTACACTCTTATGTGACAATGCAAAAGATGCTCTTCAGTGGTGTATTGAGAAGAGTATTTTAAGGACTAACTAGAAGGAAAACTAGGTTAAGTACAAATGTTTATGTACTTTCTTTGTTCTGACTTAGAGAAATGCACATTACATAAACACAGACAATAATGTGTGTTCATAAACTGGTGAAAAAAAAAAAAAAGTCCATGAAGCATGGATATAGCTAATAAGCAGATGAAACTGTTACAAGGATTTGAAAGTATGAACAGCCACAACGAAAGCTCAATAAATAAAAATTGCAGTCTAGTTTTTGGTTTTGCTTTTTGTTATTTTTCTTCAACAAAGCAAAATATATTCCAACAGGCTCAAGTTACTTAAAAAGAACTAAGAAAGAAAATAGCTCAGAAGTCTGGTCAGGGGATTATATTACAGTCAAACCTTTTGGAAAAACCAGTTTTTAATATTTCCTTTTATATTTTCCTTTAAATGTTTGTCCTCCCTGCACATCTTTTTAAAAAGAGCCTGCAATTCTTTTTTCTTTTTCTTGTTAATGAGAGTAGACAGCATGGTAGAAAAACAATCAACATAATCAGCAGACTTAAAAACTACCTGAAAATAAATTAGCTGACCATTATTATTGGCACAAATTTTTCTGTGTGATAGATAACGATGCAAAATTTATCTGTCTGCATGTGCACTTTGGGAATGTCCTACAAGTGTGTTACATGCTCTCACAATTCCTTTTAGAATGAGATTCTATATGTATCAGTTAAAGAGTCGGGAGTTTTGGAGTCGGTCATTTACTTTTGGCTTCGTCTGTTATTTCTGTAACTGGTTTTTCTTAAGTAGGCGGCATCTCAGTAATCTTATCTGTAAAGTGGGACTAATAAAAGGTTTTACTTCACAAGATTCACAAGAATGACATAAAATTACAGGAGCACACTGGATTATATGTAACAGTATTATAATAGTGTAAGTATATAAATATTATTGTTTCTGTAATTGCAAACTCATATTAACCTTTTGTATTTCAAGCATATCAGATAACTGGGTCACTAACTTTTAGAGTACTGCCATGTCCCCCACGGAAAGCAGCTGGCAGACTGAAGTGTTCAGCTACTTTTCTTATGCTGAAAATGCAATGCATATAGGGTCCTAAATATCCACTGCAAATAACTAAGCAGATAGGCAAACAAAAAGCCTAGACTGTAATGGTATTAATCTGAGTTAAACACTGCCTTACATGCTACCAAAGTTTTAAGAAGCTCTGCTTTTGCTTACACAGCTCTTTGAAACATTACACCTGTCAACAAAACCTACTAGAAACTAAAATTCAGATAGGGTGCACCAACTTTTAGAAGATGATCAAGATATCCTCCATGGTTACGTCTTATGTCATAAAGCTGTACTTTTGAGGTTTCTTTCTTCCATAATTACCTAGTTACAAGTGGCACAGCGTCAGGGTGCGAAGGCAGGTCAGCTTGGGACTTTGTGTTTACCCCTCCAAATATGGGTTCAGTTTTGGACTTTGGTCTTAGTCTTGAAAATCACTTTCTTCCTATTTTACCCTCAAACGCATGGTGACTGAACTGTTTTACTATTAATGACACGTGTGAGTATTTCAGATGGAAGCAAGAAGAAAGGTGGAGTTCAGTGAACAGGCTTGTCTGAAAGCTGCCCATAGCTTCAACACCCCCAGAATCAAACCCACAGCCCTACTAATGGCAACAAATCTGTACCATGGTAGAGGGGGGGCAGGAAAAAGGCCACACCCAAAGCTGACTTCATACTGAAGTGATACTAAGTTTCAGAATTTGACCCGCAGTTATTTTCGGCAGTCTCTCTTTCACGGTCCAGGAACCCTTCAAATTCGTACCACACCCCAAGTTCACTGGAATCACTTAGGTCCCTTCATTCAGTAATCGCCAGGTCCAAGATGGAGATCTGCCTCATTCAGAGAAAGACTTAAGTCGCGAACTCGGAGAGGGGAAAACTCAAATGACCGCGTACTCAGAAGTGACCCTAGAAGAGCCGGTCACCGCTCTTCCCCTCCCCCAAGAGGTCTGGAAAGCGGGCCGTGGCGGAATGCGGCGACCCGACCCGACAGTGACCTGGCGCAGCCCCGACCTCGCCGGCCGGACCCCAGCCCCGACCCCGCCG